GCAGGAGGAGAAGACATCCACCACCATCTCCCCCAGCTCATTCCCGCAGCCCCAGGGAAATGGCCAAAACCCGCGGCCACCACACAACGCACACGGAGCAAGCGAGCCCTCATCCATCCATCACGCGGCACAAAATTTCCTGCCATCCCGCCATCAATGGGGCACGGAGCCCAACTCAGCGCAGTCACACGCGGTGCATCACACCCGCAGGAAAATAGACTCGGGGTGCGCTCCCTCTCTCCCTCCTCCTCATGGCCACGGAAGAAGCAGCAGCCACACGCAACTGCCAGCATGCACTACAAAAGGTGCATTCAAATCCACCGCAATGTGCATCTTGTGTGTGTGGTTGTGTGTGCCTGCAGCAACACAAAGAAAAGAAGTGGAAAAGAGGGAGCAGAGTATGCGGAGGGACGCACAAAAATGTACAGCGGAGACGCATAACGGAAACAACAACAAGAAGACCGCTCAATCTCATGACTGCACCGCAGCCCAAGCAGCGGCAATTCACACAATATTTATTGAAAACAAAAAAACGTCCCCTTCGTCTTATGTAAACCCCATCACACAAAATAATTATAAATGAAAAGAAATCGTCCATTACTGCTCCACACAATTTAAAATAATAAGAAGATCGCCTGGCTGCCGTGTGGCCACACCAAGCTGTCTGTATATTTTGCCCGCGAAAGAAAATTAAAAAGATGGTTGCGTGTGCTTCGACCGTCCGACCCTCCACGTGTGTCCGCACATCGTTTATATTTCATGGGGTCATCCGCGTGTTGCTGCTCCCCTCAGCCCTCCCATCGGCGTGTGAGTGCGGCCCGCAGAGCACAGTCACTCGTGTGTGGGGACTGAGAGAAGCACGCAGACATGACGGCAGTCGCATCACCCCATCGGGAGAGTGAGCGCAGCAAAAGAAAAAGAAATCATCGGAGGGGAGAGAAATGCTCACGAGGCCGACACCGAAGGGTGCGCCACCGCATGAAATAAACACGCAAAGAAAAACAAATCCTTAAAGAAAAACACGGCGGCAGGGTGTGGCTGTGTGTGTGGCGCTGCGGGTGTCTGCCAGCCCTGGCCGCAAAGAAAACAAAACAAGAGGGAAGAAATATGTGTGCTCCGCCCCACAGGCCCTCGTCGCACACCCACACGTCACGGCTCCCTCAGCGCGCCGTTCGTCGCGGCCCCTCCTCATGCGTGCAGCAGGCGAGGCGCACAGGGCCGTCGTCATGAGCGTGTCGGTGGGTGTGCGAGTGGAGCAGTTGGGCGGGAAACACACGGCACCCCTCACAGGAAGAGTGCAGAAGAAACAATTAAAGAGGGAAGAGTAGAAAAGAAAAAACGTCCATAGTGATTGCCCCCAAAAGCAAAAAAAAGGTAAGAAATGGGGATATAAAAACGCACAGCAAGGCAAACAGAGAGAAAAGCAAATAAAAGTTATTAAAGAAAATAAATTAATTACCGTGTGTGTCGGTACTGGGGAGGTCGCAAGTGTCCCACGCGGCAGCCAGTCACTCCTCACAGAGCCGCAAACACCCACAGTCCCAACAGAAGGAGCAGCGACGGCAGTCCGCTCTCACGCACAGTGCCGGCGTCGCTGTTATTCCCCTGCGACACATTTCCAAGACTGCTGCTGAGTGCCGCAGCATTTACTTCCTTTTCCTGTGCATGGATTCCCTCTTTCTGCACATCCGTTCCTCCTCTTGTCTCCCCATCCTCACCAGAGTGCGCTCCCACCTCAGGTGTCACTGCAGTTCCTTCTGGCGCCATGATTTCAGCGGTAGGGGCATTTGTATCTGCTGTGGCGGAAGTGCCCACTGACGGTTGTTGTGTTCCATCTCCCTGCACCGTGTCTCCAGTTTCGGCATCCACCGTTTGAACTTCCTCGGACGAAGAATCAACATCCACATTTGGATTTCCTTCGGGAAATTTTCCCGACACTGACTGGTTTTCGGACTCTTTGGCTGCTGGGGAATTCGTGACACTGGACACCGCTGACGTGGATAAAACGCTACTCCTCGCATTTTCACTTGTCCTCAACGAGCCCTGTTCAGTCCGCTGTTGCCCGCCAAGACTAGACGGAGTTTCGGTTTCCAGCGTAACTTGTTTACTTACCACTGGTTGAGTACCCTCCTTCACTGTTTTTGTACCTCTTGCTTTTGGAATAGAAGGTTTTGTGTTAAGCGCATTAATCTCATCGTCATCCAACGGGCGGTTGTACAGCAGGACGTTCGTCACAGTCACAGAGACGTCTTGGACCTCTGAATCGGCTTTTGCACCTCCATCCCCTCCAATGTGGAAGTGGGAGATCCTTTTATCTTTCGCACTTTTCAAATCACATTGTGCATCCTCACCCACACGCTGACCATCAACGTACGAGGAGCCTTGGGTGCCGTTCCGTAACAAAATCACCACGTGGTGCGTTGCCTCCTTCTCCCAAGTGCTGCTGAGCTCCTTACGGTTTTCGCCACCGCACAGCAATTTCCACTTCCCTCCGCCGTTGTACGACAGTCCCAGGAGTACTGTATTATTATCATCAATCATCTTCATTCCCATCAAAGAAATGGGAGAACCCTCCTTCGGCTCACCGTCAATGGACACCGTCGCCACAAGAGTGAAGTTGTAGTTCGCAAAGTGGTACAGTTGATTCTCCCCCTGCTTGCCAACAGGCCACTCCGCCCACGCTCCCCGGAACTTCACACTGCCTTCATGCAATGTTGCCTTATTACCCCCATCATTATTCTTCACTGTGGCGTTCACCCCGAGGTACTCGTCCCTCCATGTTTCATTAGAGAAGTTGCCGGACAAAAAGCCAACCAGCCCGTCCGTAGGCATGGAAGCGCTGCAGTCACTTTCAGTTGAACGTTCCTCCTCCGCACTTGAGGTGCACAGCTTGGAGACAGTTTCGTCCACTTTCTTCCACGTCGCCAGCACAACCTTCACACGCTGCAGCTGCTCAGTCAGAAGCACAGACCAAAGACTGTGTGATGGTTTCCCATCGTCTTTCTTCTTCTCGTACAGTGCAATCAACTTCTCCTCCTTCTTATTATCTCCACTTCCAGCACTTTTGTACAACAGGGAGCTGGCGGCAGCGTCATCACCGGATACCGGTCCAATATCAACAATGTGCGTATTGTCCGTCAGCCAAAGATGGAGTTTTCCCTTTCGATTGCCTCCTGTATCAGCCTCCTTGGAATACACCGGCAGAGTGACGAGCATCACATTTCTCTTATCATCAACACCGCCAATCGTCGCTGTGATGAACCCGCTTCTAACGCCATTCGCTTCTTGGCCATGTTTGTTGCCCCACACGCGCGAGAGTGTCCCGAGCGCCTCCGTCCACGACTCCCCCTTGTCACCGGACTCGTACACCCTGCGGCGGCCATCATCACACGCAGTCATCATCATGAGTTTTTTGTCCTTCTCTCCCCACTCCACGACGGAGGGATCACTGCAGCCACCGTCAGACATCCCCTTCGACAGCTTCCAACCCTCATTGGCCGAAAAGTATATGAGCAACGAAACGGCTTTCTTCTTTCCCTCCTTTACACTCTTCATGCCTTCCACTGGGAACACAAGTTTATCGCCCTTCATCTCAAATCCCGATCCACCACTTCCAATCAGTCCTTCCAAGGATTGAAGTTCTTTGCCAAAAGCTGCCCGTGACAAATCCGTAGTCTCTTTCCAGTCAATTTGTTTGTTTGTTTCATCACCTACTTTCCCTTTCACCAGCAAAAGTCCAGAATCATCTGCTCCACCCTCCACAGAAACACCGGCTGCGGGTTTCCCGCTGTATTTTCCAACAAGCATGTAAATGTCTTTTCCATTCACAACTGTTGTTGGTCGGCTCACATCCACTTTCTTCTTCTCGCCTTTGGAAACGTCCTTCTCCAAAACTTTTGTCCCCTTTTTGGCATCCTTAGGAAATTCCTCCTTTGATTCTTTACCCTTATCCATCGTGAGTAGTTGGGATGCAATGCCAATAAAAGTGTGATCCTCAGCATCCTCTTTCCCGCACGTTGCCTCGGCAACGGCAAACACGTCACTCCCCACTTTCAAAAGGCCGGGAACACCCAACGATTCCACAGTTACACCATCCTCATCCTTGACGACTTTCCATTTAAACTTTGGAGCAGATGACTGCTCCTCAGCTTCCGCAGCTCCTCCAGCGGTGCAGCACATCATCACGACGAGGAGGAGCACCGCAGAGTAGAAGAGATGCCGCGACATGTCGGGCATCCGCGGCTCACTCTCTCTTCCTTCCCTCCTCCTCCCGCTGGATCCGGTCACGCGGCGACGGTTGTGTGTGCGGGGTGCCATCACTGCAGCAACACGTGAGAGCATATAAATATGTGTGTGTGTGGGCGGTGTGTGTGCTGTTGGTCCTTTCAGAGCCTTCGAATTTGACAGGAGCGATTAGCGCTTGTTTGCTTTCTTTTGTTTGTGTGAAAGAGAAGAAAAGAGGAAAAAGGAGTGAAACAGTGAGCACCGCCGCCCATCCACAGTGAGTGGCACCATCATCCCCACCGCAGTCACTTCCAACTACAACAACAATAGCGCCTGCACACAAACACACGGAATGAGAAGGAAGAACAGTGCACCGGGAACACACCGCAACCGCCACCAGCAGTAAAAGTCACAGCGGGTGCCTCTGCCACGCGTCAGCACACACGGAGCAACGCCCACACGCACTGCCGCCAGTCGTTTTACTGTTGTCTCCCCGCACCATCCATCGCACATCGTCCCGCACAGCCGGAGAATCCCCCGTCGCTGTATGAACAGCGGGAGAAACACGTCGGCACGTGCAGCTGCCAGGAGTGAATCCATACGCATATCTCCCAGGCACCCTTAATGCCACATCACATCAGTCAACTGCTACACGTCGCCAACACCACAACCGCAGCAAGTCCAAGGGACGCACGGCGAGCTCACACCCTCCATCCCCGCAAGAGCCGCCACAGCCAAATTGTGTGAAAAATGGCATGTGAATTTGTGTGTGTGTTTGGCAGCCCCTATACATGCAGAGCAGATGTGCGGCACAAGAGAGTCTGAAGAAAGCAACGGCAGAGAGAGGCAGATAGCACACACGCAAATTAATCATATCATCACACACACACACACACGCAGCCGCGGAATGGGTGCACTCAACCACAAAATCAAAAAGGAAAACAAAACAAAAAGCCGAAGCGTGGGACGACCAGCGCACACACACTCTCATTACTCCCGTAAAGCAAAACACACACAGAGGGAGAGAGAGAGAGGTCGCCCACTCAATGCAATAAAAACAAAACAGAAACAGTTACGGTGCTCCGCCCATGCAGCCGGGCAGGACGGCAGCGGTGCGTGTCGTGCAGAAGAGAGCACCAACGGGCCTGCATGGGTGTGCATGCATATATACAATGGGCACATTATTGTGTGTGCCTCGTGGGGTGAGGTGGGGGCGAGGGTCCATGCAAGGGAACACACACACACAGAGAGAGAAGGAAGAGTGTGTGTGCGGGCGGTGCATGGCTCTCTCACACTCACTCTCACGCGGCCACCACCGCAGCAGCAGCCGCACACGCAACAAGAAGAAGCAGAAGAGGGGAGGTGGTGTGGGAGGCTGCGGTGCTGCTGTCACTGTCGCCAGTCGTCGTCGTGTTATTTCTCTTGGTGATGGTGACATTTTCTGTTGAGGTTTCTTCTCCTGCCTGAAGTTCCGTTTCTGTTGGTGATGGTTCTGCGGATGATGCTCGTGGGGTTGTTTGTGTTACTGGTGGGTTGCTGGTAGTAGAAGATAGGCTTTTAGTGGCTTTCAGACCGACGTCTCCCTTCTTTTTCTCCTTTTCAACTGCATCCCCACTATCATCTGGACTTTCTGCGGCTTCTTCTGAAGTAGAGGAGCCCTGTTTTGCTTTGGATTCTGATCTCTCCTTTGGCTGCTCGTTGGGCAATGCGGTTCCAAGAGACATTGTTTCCGACCGTAGACCCTTTTCTGAAGGTTGCGTGCTCTGAACAAATGGGGCATCGAGGGCAGAGGATGATGAAATGCCAGCCGTAGAAAGAGGAGAAACTGAAGAGTCACCTCGAGAACTGTCACTGTGTCGAGTTCCATCAGATTCTGGTGATTGTGGCGGTCTTATTGCTTGGCCCGCCTGTCCTGCATGTTCTGCTGGATCTTCACTGGTCAACATTTTGTCTGCTGGTGTTGGAGATGGGTTCCTTTCGTTTTCTTTTGGGCCATCGCGTTCCTGCGTTCCTTCTGAATGATCTTTTGGTTGCTCTTCTCCATCACTTCATGTTTCTTCATCTTACGCTTTCTTTGCTTCTACTTTTTCTTCTTTTCCTGCCGCTCCACCATTATCTCTTAGTGATTGTTTGACAGATTCTTTTTGAGGGCTGACCTTCGTTATGTCTTGCGCATCTGACGGTTCTTCTGAGGTGTTCAACACTCCACCGACTGGAATTCGTACATCCGGTTCTACTTCACGTCCACCCTTAGATACAGACTGTGAAACCCTCGATGGTTCACCTTGTAGCTCAGTGACATCATCACCCTCCGCCTCCACCGCAGCAACGCACCACAGCACGCAGAGGGCACACACCAGCAGCACACGGCCAGTCATCATCGCCATCACTCCTGTCACTTGCGTGTAGCCTTCAGCACAAACTAACTACACGTCAACGCAGAGTGAAAGCAAAAGGAGAGAGACAAGTCACACACAGTCACCACACAGTCACAAATGGCAATGCACGCACCATGAGGCAGTTGGAATCAGTAAGAAGGAAAAAAAAACACACAGCCCTGCAAACCAGAAGTTAAAAATGCAGTAAAAAAAGAACAACAACAGATTTGAGAGTCCGGTATGACTCCCAAAAAGTAAAAAAAAGAAGAATCAGGCACAAATTTTATTGTATTTGCCAAGAAGCAAAATGTAAAAGACCACTGGTTTGTGTATACGTAATGCATGGACTGAATAAAGCAAAAAAAAAATATCGTGCTTTTCCGTGAGCCCACACAACATCCCTCACATTTCATGCGGCTCCCAGCCTGTCTCTCCAATCCTCCTCTCGTGCAGTCCGTGGGACGCACAGCAATGACGCCGGCACCGCGTGTGGGCAACAAAAAAGCAAACAAGAGAAACAAATAATACATGACAAAGTACAGCAAACGAGCATTGGGGGAAAACACAGGGATGCTGATTATTCCAATAGGGCAAAGGCAGCAAAAATAAACAAATAAAAGAAAATAAAAAAGCTTAAATTATTGACAAAACTCAGTGGGTAATGCTGGCAAGCTGCACAGTTATTGTTCCACGAAAGGCCGCAATTCCACCCTCCCTCACACCTCAGCAGAGTGCCACAGTACCTGGCAGCCCCAGAATCAGAAGCAACTACACCTGAGACACACACCCATGCACGGTGCTGTCACCAATTTCAGCCATGGTCAACAAATCCGTGAAATGCCCGTGCTCACAAAAAACATTGCTCACAAGTGATGCTGCGTCGTGCTCCGATGGGATCTCTAGTTTCCCAGACGTTGTGCGCAAATAATCCTGTGCGGCATCACCGCCACCCGACACGTTATCACTCGTTCAACAATTGCTAGGGCTGTGCTGGGCTCAGGCGTGGCTGTTGTACCATCCAAGGGCATTAGATCACTGTTGCTGAGTGAATCGGGGTCGCTGTCCGTGGTCACGGCAGTGCGGGCATACGTGTCCTATTAGTGCTCAACATGTTGTTAGTCGCTGGCAAGTGTGTTGGCGGTGGACGGTTTGTCGTCTCTCGCTGAGCATGCCTCTGGATCCGCTGCGCCGCCACTTTACTCCCCGGACAGCCGCGCTCCTTGTGGGGTTTCACCGCGCAGCTGCCGGCAGCTTCGTATGCACCTGCCGAGCGGAGTGCCCTGCCACTGAGCTTGGCCACAGACAGTTCCTAGTTCCCCGCCTGGCAGCAGCATCCCAATCGCCCACACGAGTTCCTGTCGCCACAGACTCCCTTCGGCGATGGAGTCGCTCCGCCTTGGCTCGCTGGCGGCGCACGATGCCGTCACCGAGGAGAGTTGCACCGTGCCGCTTTCACTGGTGGATCGAGTTCGCACTGTTGGCTTCAAATGCTCACCATGACACTGCGGTATCCCACGCAACGTGACAGCGGACGCTGACGCCGTCATGGCACGATCTCTCCCGCAGGACTGCGTCACTGCCTGGCACGTGGGCTTCCTCACTGCAGTCGGGTGACCGTACTGGAAGGATGCCCAGAAGAAAAGAAGGCGCGTACACCGCATGAGAGGCGCCTGTCGGTGCGGCAGGGACTCTATTCCTGATGCTGACCCGGACATCGTGCCCCGAGTGGCGGCACTGCGCACAGGCGCGACGCGATTCCCGCCCACTCCTCGACATGCCTGCGCGTGCCCTCCGTATCACAAATAACCCTCTGTGTTGGTGGTGCCGTCCCTCCCTCACTGCGGTGACCGGCCCGCCGCTGCCTCCGCCAGAACCTCTTCCCGACGTGAGCGCCGCCACTCCTTGCCGACCGGCGAGCGGCGGATTGAGGTTCTTCTGCCCAACCTGCCGCATAGTCTGCGCTCGTCCGTCCACAGTATGAGGGCACATGCCCGACGTGCTCGGCCTGGCGTTCCGATAGTTTGAGAAGGCCTCGGATGCGGATGCCACAATGGCGCCAGCGTCTTCTTAACAGGCGCCTCGCGCACAGGTCGCCACAGAAAGTGCCAAGCACGCCAGCAGGCAAGACACGCAGGAAGCACAACCGCGGACACTCGAGACGGACCACGAGAGAATTCGCTTCATCCACTGCAGAAATGCCCCGTCGTTGGTAATATGGACTGCGAGTGTTTGGGGGTGTCCCAGCCCGCACGACGGCACGTTTCGGACGGAATGCTTGCCACTTTTGTACGGACGGCCCTTGCGCTACTCACTCGTCATTGTAACAGCATACAGCAAAAACAGGATAACAGGTTGCTTTGCGATGAATATTGGCTGCAATTCCCGTGGACCAACAATTTACGTGGTGTGCGGGGATCATTCTTTTTTTAATTGCCACTTTGCTTTTGTGCTGCTGTGCGCGCTGCACCTCCTCTTGTGTGTGTGCGTACCCTCCGTGAGGGGTGCCGACACGACGGACCGCTCTCGCCGTATGTGCATGCGGTGGAGCCTTGTGTGCCGCTCCTGTTTGCTTCTCCCTCCTGCATCTGTGTGTTGTTGTTGCGACAGGGCTGTGCGTGTGTGTGCCTGTTGCCGTGGATTGGAATGTGTGTGTGCGTGGTGTGCCCTCTGTGTGTGTGTCTGCCGCACCTCTCGTCTCCCCTGTTGCTCTCCATGCCCCTCACTGTGCAGATCAGCTCCACACCACTGAACGACCACACTCACGATGATGACGACGTGCCGTCTGCTGTGCGCCCTGTTGGTGCTTGCCCTGTGCTGCTGCCCGTCCGTGTGTGCGTCAGACACGGAGACGATTCAAGAGTTAAATAAGGCTGAAGAAGGCCCCGGTCCAGGGGAAATTAAGACAGTGAAACCAGTTGGGGAGGTGGGTCACCCACGGCCGTCAAGTGAGCGGTCCGATACGGAGGATGGAATATCTGGTGGAAAGGGTCCGGGTTTGACAGCTCCACGACCGAAACTAAGTAACGCGATCGATAAGGTGCGCGAGAAAGGTACGGACAGTGATACAGGACTAAAAAGTCTCAGCGATATTTCCGCAGAAAAAACACATGAAGAAACCGAAGGTCGTACCAAGACGACGACTACAAAAAAGTCACCGGAGGATGACAAGAAGTCTAAGCCTGAAGCCAATGCAAATGCCACCAGTCCAATACCCTCTGAACCAGTGATTAAGCCGTCTGACGCTTCTGCTCACACAACCACGACCACTACAACACAGGCACCAATTACTACGACTACAGAGGCGCCAACCACGACGACCACCCGCGCACCGTCGCGTCTTCGAGAAATGGACGGCAGCCTCAGCAGTTCTGCGTGGTTGTGTGCCCCGCTGCAGCTCGCCGTATCCGCGCTGGTGTACACCACTGTTGGCTGAAGAATTGTGTGCGGGCTGTGCGTGCCAGCACTCAACCACGAGTATTTGTGCGCTTCTACTGTGGTCCGATGTAATAAATAAGAGAAAGTAATTATGATGATTGTGTTTTGCCTCATTTGTTTACACTGCCCTGCTGTGTGCTCCGCGTTGTTCCTTGTATTCGTCACGTTGAATGCATCCCGGACACACTCACATGCACGACAGGCATACATCTGTTTGCGTAGATGTATTTTTGTGCTTGTGCATGCGCACTGGAGCCATTTGGGTGAAATTTTTGTTCTGTATGTTTTTACTTTTTTTCTTATTGCTAATTTTTTACTTTGGTTTTGTTTTTAATTGCTTTTGTGTTTCTTTTTGTTATTAAATTATTACGGGGCGTTGTGCGTTTTCTGACTTTTATTGGTTTAATGTTTCTCATGAAATGCGTGCTGCTGCTGCTGCTGTTGTTGTTGTCACTGTGCCGTGTCTTTTCTTTTTGCTTTCACTCTGCGTTGACGTGTAGTTAGTTTGTGCTGAAGGCTACACGCAAGTGACAGGAGTGATGGCGATGATGACTGGCCGTGTGCTGCTGGTGTGTGCCCTCTGCGTGCTGTGGTGCGTTGCTGCGGTGGAGGCGGAGGGTGATGATGTCACTGAGCTACAAGGTGAACCATCGAGGGTTTCACAGTCTGTATCTAAGGGTGGACGTGAAGTAGAACCGGATGTACGAATTCCAGTCGGTGGAGTGTTGAACACCTCAGAAGAACCGTCAGATGCGCAAGACATAACGAAGGTCAGCCCTCAAAAAGAATCTGTCAAACAATCACTAAGAGATAATGGTGGAGCGGCAGGAAAAGAAGAAAAAGTAGAAGCAAAGAAAGCGTAAGATGAAGAAACATGAAGTGATGGAGAAGAGCAACCAAAAGATCATTCAGAAGGAACGCAGGAACGCGATGGCCCAAAAGAAAACGAAAGGAACCCATCTCCAACACCAGCAGACAAAATGTTGACCAGTGAAGATCCAGCAGAACATGCAGGACAGGCGGGCCAAGCAATAAGACCGCCACAATCACCAGAATCTGATGGAACTCGACCCAGTGACAGTTCTCGAGGTGACTCTTCAGTTTCTCCTCTTTCTACGGCTGGCATTTCATCATCCTCTGCCCTCGATGCCCCATTTGTTCAGAGCACGCAACCTTCAGAAAAGGGTCTACGGTCGGAAACAATGTCTCTTGGAACCGCATTGCCCAACGAGCAGCCAAAGGAGAGATCAGAATCCAAAGCAAAACAGGGCTCCTCTACTTCAGAAGAAGCCGCAGAAAGTCCAGATGATAGTGGGGATGCAGTTGAAAAGGAGAAAAAGAAGGGAGACGTCGGTCTGAAAGCCACTAAAAGCCTATCTTCTACTACCAGCAACCCACCAGTAACACAAACAACCCCACGAGCATCATCCGCAGAACCATCACCCACAACAACGGAACTTCAGGCAGGAGAAGAAACCTCAACAGAAAATGTCACCATCACCAAGAGAAATAACACGACGACGACTGGCGACAGTGACGGCAGCACCGCGGTCTCCCACACCACCTCCCCTCTTTTGCTTCTTCTTCTTGTTTTTGCGTGTGCGGCTGCTGCTGCGGTGGCCGCGTGAGAGTGAGGGAGAGAGAGCCGTGCACCGCCCGCACACACACGCGTCCTTCTCTCTCTGTGTGTGTGTCCCCTTGCATGGACTCTCGCCCTCACCTCACCCCACGAGGCACACACATAATGTGTCCATTGTATATGTGCATGCACACCCATGCAGGCCGTTGGTGCTCTCTTTTGCACCACATGCACCGCTGCCGTCCTGCCTGGCTGCATGGGCGGAGCACCGTAACTGTTTCTGTTTTGTTTTTATTGCATTGAGTGGGCGACCTCTCTCTCTCTCCCTCTGTGTGTGTTTTGCTTTACGGGAGTAATGAGTGTGTGTGCGCTGGTCGTCCCACGCTTCGGCTTTTTGTTTTGTTTTTCATTGTCTTGTGGTTGAGAGCACCCATTCCGCGGCTGCGTGTGTGTGTGTGATGATATGAGTAATTTGCGTGTGTGCTATCTGCCTCTTTCTACCGTTGCTTTCTTCAGACTCTCTTGTGCCGCACAGCTGCTCTGTAAGTATATCCACTGACAAACACACATGCACACACACGCCATTACGCATACTCTGTAGAGCGGCGTGATTGCTGAGAACGCACGCAGAGGATTCTGGTTGCGAAGTCCCTTGCGAGGGAGGGGAGGACGGGAGCCTGCGATTTACTTTTTGACACGTTGCAGGCGTGCAGTCGATTGGGTGGTGTGGCTTAAGGTGCCTGGGACAAGTGTGGATTGCTTCTCGTCCAGCTGCTGCACGTGCCAATGTGTACCTCATATGCTGTGTATACTTTGGTCAGGGATTCTTCGCCTGTGTGGGTGATTTGCGCTGGCGGATGCGCTGGAAGGGTGAACAGTAAAATGACTGGCGGGAGCGCGTGGGCTTTGCGAAGGACGGTTGTTGTCTTTTGCATTCTCCCGGTTGTTTTGTTTGTGTTGGCGTTGCTCGGTGTGTGCTGACGCGTGAATAATGACATACCCGCCGTGGCTCCTGCTGCTGTTGGCGGCAGTCGCTGTGTGTTCCCGGTGCACTGTTCTCCCGTCTTCTCGTTCCGTGTGTCTGTGTGCGTGAGTTGTTGTTATTGGGAGTGACTGCGGTGGAGATGATGGTGCCACCCACTGTGGAGTGGTGGCGGTGTTCACTGTTTAACCTCTTTTTTGTTGCCTGTTTTTCTTTATTTCTCTATTTCTCAATCACACATGAAGAAAGCAAACAAGCGCTAATCGCTACCGTGAAATTCGAAGGCACTGAAAGGACTAACAGCACACATACCGCCCACACACACATATTTATATGCTCTCACGTGTTGCTGCAGTGAAGGCACCCCGCACACACAACCGTCGCCGCGTGACCGGATCCAGCGGAAGGAGGAGGGAAGGAGGAGAGAGTGAGCCGCAGAGGCCCAACATGTCCCGGCGTGTGTTTACTTCCGTGCTTCTGCTTCTCTTCGTCGTGATGATGTGCTGCGGCACTGGAGCTGCAACCGCTGATGTGGGGGCGGCAGAAGCTAAGGGATTTTCACCGGAGAAACCGTTTCATTGGAGGGATGTGAAAAAAGATGGGGGAACAGTGAGTTCTTTACGTGCTCCAGTTCTTGTTGAGGTGAATGGCGGTGTGTTTGCCGTTGTTGAAGCGCAGTGCAAGAAGGGTGAAAAAAGATTTACTGGGATTGCCTCGAAGCTCCTGACGTTGACCGACGAAACATTAAAAGAGGATTTGGATGCAACTCAATTGAAGACACAATTACTGGTGGAATGCTCTTCCGACGATGTGAAACCCGGCTGCCGTGTGGCGGTTCAGGAATCTGGTTCTCCAAACGAGCAGATAGTAGATGTGGGCCGACCAACAACAGTTGTTGAGGGAAACGATATTTACATGCTTGTTGGAAAACACAGCCATGAAAATCTCGCTGAATGTAAGGCCACGAGCGAGAAGTTCAAATCGGGAATGTTGCTGGTGAAGGGTGAGGTCAGTGGTGAAGGCGGTAACAAACAAATCCATTGGAACGATACTCACGGTGTACCGTGCACTCTAGGCGACCACCAAAACTCCTTGAAGCGGCTGATCGGCGGTGGTGGATCGGGTCTTAAGATGAAGGACGATACGATTTTGTTTCCAGTGGAAGGCACGAAAAAGGAAGGTGACGCAGAAGAGGATGGAAAGACCGTTTCGCTGATCATATACTCCTCGAGTACTTCTGAGAGTTGGAAGCTATCAAACGAGGTTCCTGCCGATGGCTGCAGTGATCCCTCGGTCGTGGAGTGGGAGAAGGACAAAAAACTCATGATGATGACTGCGTTTGGTGATGGCCGCCGCAGGGTGTACGAGTCCGGTGACAAGGGGGAATCGTGGACGGAGGCGCTCGGGACACTCTCGCGCGTGTGGGGCAACAAACATGGCGAAAAAGCGAAGGGCGTTAGAAGCGGGTTCATCACGGCGAAGATTGACGGTGTTGATGATAAGAGAAATGTGATGCTCGTCACTCTGCCGGTGTATTCCAAGGAGGCTGATACAGGAGGCGCTCAAAAGGGAAAACTCCATCTTTGGCTGACGGACAATACGCACATTGTTGATATTGGACCGGTATCCGGAGAAGGAGACGAGGAGGACGTTGCCGCCAGCTCCCTGTTGTACAGAAGTGGTAAAGATGGTAAAAATAAGCAGGAGTTGATTGCACTGTACGAGAAGAAAGGCGATGAGAAAGAAACATCAACCGGTATGGTCTCTGTGCTTCTGACTGCGCAGCTGGAGCGGGTGAAGGAGGTGCTGACGACATGGAATGAAGTGGACAAACGTGTTTCCCAGCTGTGCCCTTCAGAGAGTGATGTGGAGACTATCTCACCTGGCAATGCCTGCAGCCCTACTGTTAAGATCACGGATGGGCTGGTTGGCTTTTTGTCCGGCAACTTGTCTGATGGCACATGGAAAGACGAGTACCTCGGGGTGAACGCCACAGTGAAGGGGAATGATGGGGGTAATAAGGCAACATTGCATGCCAGCGGAGTGAAGTTCCAGGGAGCGTGGGCGGAGTGGCCCGTTGGCAAGCAGGGGGAGAATCAGCTGTACCACTTTGCGAACTACAACTTCACTCTTGTGGCGACGGTGTCCATCCACGGTGAGCCGAGGGGAGATACCTCCATTCCTTTGATGGGTGCGAAGATGAATGACAGCGGGAAGACTGTGCTCCTGGGACTGTCGTACAACGGCGGAGGTAAGTGGGAGTTGTCTTGCGGTGGCGGAAAGACCGAGGAGCACAGCAGCGATTGGGAGACAGAGAAATCAGAGCACGTGGTAATTTTGTTACGGAACGGCAACCAGAGCTCTGCGTACGTCGATGGAAAGCTCGTGGGGAGTGCAGAATGTGAATGTGAAAACACGAAGGATAAGGAGATCTCACACTTCTACATTGGAGGGGATGGAGGCAGCGCAGAGGGCCAAGAAGGCGAGTCTGTGACTGTGACGAACGTCCTGCTGTACAACCGTCCGTGGACTGAAGAGGAGGTTGGCGCCCTCAACCCGAATAAAGTCCCCATTACGTCTCCGGTAACCGAAAATATGCCGGATACCATGTTGCAGTCTTCTGCGAAACCACAGCCGTCGGAACAGGAAACGTTGACGACGAATATTGGTGGTGTCGGTGGCGTTTTATCCAGAGCAGCTTCCACTGCTACGACTCCCTCGTCTGATTTTGCCCAAGAGGCGGCAACAAGGAGTGGAGATACGATGCTGGGAAATGGATCACCCCAAACTCCTGAGGTGGGCGTGAGCTCTGGTGCGAATGAGGAGACGACGGAAGGGAGGGATGGGCAGAAAGAGGGAATCCATGCACAGCACGGCGAAGTAAATGCCACGGCACTCAGCAGAAGTCTCGGAAATGTGTCGCAGGGAAATAACAGCGATGCCGGCACTGTGCGTGGGAGCGGACTGCTGCCATCGCTGCTTCTTCTGCTGTTGGGACTGTGGGTGTTTGCGGCTCTGTGAGGAGTGACTGGCTGCCGCGTGGGACAATTGCGGCCTCCCATGCACCGACACACACGGTAATTAATTTATTTTCTTTAATAACTTTTTTTAACTTTTTCGCTGTTTGCTTTGCTGTGCGTTTTTATATCCCCATTTCTTTTTTTTTTTTTTTTTGCTTTTGGGGCAATCACTATGGACGTTTTTTCTTTTCTACTCTTCCCTCTTTAATTGTTTGTTGCTGCACTCTTCCTGTGAGGGGTGCCGTGTGCTTCCCGCCCAACTGCTCCACTCGCACACCCACCGACACGCTCACGACGACGGCCCTGTGCGCCTCGCCTGCTGCACGCATGAGGAGGGGCCGCGACGAACGGCGCGCTGAGGGAGCCGTGACGTGTGGGTGTGCGACGAGGGCCTGTGGGGCGGAGCACACATTTCTTCCCTCTTGTTTTGTTTTCTTTGCGGCCAGGGCTGGCAGACACCCGCAGTGCCACACACACAGCCACACCCTGCCGCCGTGTTTTTCTTTAAGGATTTGTTTTGCTTTGCGTGTTTATTTCATGCGGTGGCGCACCCTTCGGTGTCGGCCTCGTGAGCATTTCTCTCCCCTCCGATGATTTCTTTTTCTTTTGCTGCGCTCACTCTCCCGATGGGGTGATGCGACTCCCGTCGTGTCTGCGTGCTTCTCTCAGTCCCCACACACACGAGTGACTGTGCTCTGCGGGCCGCACTCACACGCCGATGAGAGGGCTGAGGGGAGCAGCAACGCGCCGATGACCCCATGAAATATAAACGATGTGCGGACACACGGAGGGTCAGACGGTCGAAGCACACGCAACCATCTTTTTAATTTACTTTTGCGGGCAAAATACATACAGACAGTTTGTTGTGGCTACATGGCTGCCAGGCGATTTTTTTCTTATTTTAAATTTGTGTGGAGCAGTAATGGACGATTTCTTTTCATTTATAATTATTTTGTGTGATGGGGTTTACATAAGACGAAGGGGACGTTTTTTGTTTTCAATAAATATTGTGTGAATGGCCGCTGCTTGGGCTGCAGTGCAGTCATGAGATTGAGCGGTCTTCTTGTTGTTGTTTCCGTTATGCGTCTCCGCTGTACATTTTTGTGCGTCCCTCCACATACTCTGCTCCCTCTTTTCCACGTCTTTGCTTTGTGTTGCTGCAGGCACACACAACCACACACACACAAGATGCACATTGCAGTGGATATGAATGCACCTTTTGTAGTGCATGCTGGCAGTTGCGTGTGGCGGCTGTTGTCTTCTTCCGTGGCCATGAGGAGGAGGGGATGAAGGAGCGCACACCCCGAGTCTATTTTACTGCGGGTGTGATGCACCGCGTGTGACTGCGCTGAGTTGGGCTCCGTGTCCCATTGGTGGCGGGATGGCAGGAAATTTTGTGCCGCGTGATGGATGGATGAGGGTTCGCTTGCTCCGTGTGCGTTGTGTGGTGGCCGCGGGGTTTTTGCCATTTCCCTGGGGCTGCGGGAATGAGCTGGGGGAGATGGTGGTGGATGTCTTCTCCTCCTGCATGGTGGGTGGCTGCTGGCGTTGTGTGCCCTCCTTGCGTGGATGCCGTCTCGTGGTGTGTGAACTGTGCGGCTGGGCCTGCTGCCTTCTCCTCATGTTGTCTGCTTTCTCTCGCTGTATCCGCTGTGCTCCGTCCCTCTCCCTCTCGTTTCATTCTTTTCCTTTCTGGCTCACCGATCGGCTGACTGACACCAGCGACTCCACTACGGGCGATGGTGACTGCGATGGTGACGGTGCGTCGCCGTGCTGGTCCTTGCGCTCTTGTGCTGCTGCTGCACGTCCGTGTGTGTGACGGCTGCCGGGAGTCCTGGAGATGTATCTGGTGATGCGGATGCGGTGGTTGTGCCGGTGGATGTGTCGTGTGCTCCGAGTGACGGCAGCCTGAGCTATCGCGTGTGTGTGGGCGTGGAAGAAGTGTTTTGCTGTCGCTCGTGAGGCTCAGTATGAGAATTACACTTTCAGTGGCTTTGATGTGCGCATGCATGGCAGGGATGGTGAACTGGGTGCTGTGTGCCATGTGGTCAATGCGGTGCACACATGTAGCAACTGTGCTGCCAGCTGTACAACGAAAGAGGAAGGGGTCACCGTTGCCTTCACGATGAATGTGACGACAAATAAATGCGCCGGCCCTTATGAATTGTGGTGACGTCAATTTTCCCGATGGAACCATCCATCCGCCTGCATGGAGCAGCGATGCTGACCGGACGGGCATCTGTCAGTTGCCTTCACCCCGTGAAGGGAAGGATGACACAAAATCTGGTGGGACAACTGCGCCGCAATTGAATGCTGAGCCGTCACGTCAACACGAGGATTGGCGACAGTCTGCGGCGGCTGACGGACCCAACACCGTTGATCGGAGTCCCGCATCTAACACGGCGAACAACACGTCCGAGGCGAGGCCTGAGTTTGCCAGCAATCCGAGCGAAGTGATGTTCCCGAATGCATCCGGGATCATGTCTGTCACTTGTGGCGGCAGGGAGCACTTTGCTGCGGATAACACATACGAGGTGAGTGAGAACAACGCCACCGGACACAAATCTCCTTTGTTCATAAAATGGCTTTGCAGGCAGTGGATTTGTTGCTGAGGGTGATGCGGGCGGAGTGAGTCAACGCAATGCCTCTGGACACGATAACAAACCCCCAATTGCGAGTATTCACCGCGCAGTATTCCGGCAGCGGTGTGGGTCTACACGACTGCTTTGTCCTGCTCAACGACGCGAAATTGACACTGCGAGAGTTAACTGTTGACGGCACTGTGCGTGTGTGCGTGTATTGGGCGTTGCTGCTTCTTCTGGGATTGTGTGGAGTTGCGGCTCCTCACGGAGAACATGTGCCGCTTTCCCTGCGTGTGTTACTTTTTTAATTATTTTTTTACTGTTGGTTTTGTTTTTGTGTTGCTTTTCCGGAATGATAAGAACCCCTATTTATTTAATGGTCGGTTGCTGCACACCGTCATGGGTGACGTGTTTCTCCTCTTGTTTTTTGTTGTTGCCCACCCGCGGTGCCGGCCTCATTGCTGTGCGTCCCACGGACTGCACGAAAGGAGGAGCGGAGGAACAGGCCGGATGCCGCAATGAAGTGTGAAGAGTGTTTTGTTTGGGATTGTGGAAGAGTACGATCTTTTTTTTTCTTACTTTCCGTTTCTTGTGCGCAGGCAATATGTATGCACCCGGTCGTTTTTATTGCGTTGCATGGCACATGAAATAAAATTACGACCTAATCTATTTTCCTAATTGTTTCTTTTGAGGGTCATGCCGGACTCTCACCTTTCCCTTTTCTTTGGTAACTCACTGCGGCTTGTTTCTGTAGTTACCGTATCTGCTGTCACTGTGTGTCTACTTGTCCCGTTGACTGTACCTCTGCTGACTGTGCAGTTGGCATGCCCTTGTTTCTTTTTTTCTCTTCTTTCCTGCTGGAGGCATCGATTTTCCGTGACGACGATTATTTGTGCTCTCCATTGCGATGGCAGGAGGGTGACTGGGGGCGGCCTGCTGAGTGCACATGGAGGGAGCGGACTGTGTGCGCCGTGTCTCACTGTGAGTGTGGGACGCCAATGCGCCGGGGAAGAGAGAAGTGAAGAACTGCGGTATGTACTTGTATGTGCCCGTCCCTCTTGTTGCCGCCGTGTGTGTGCTGTGCGCATGGCTCTATCCTGCGGTGCGACGCCGATGGCGCTGCTTTTTGCTGCCCTCGTTGTGCGTTGTGCAGCGGGCTTCCCTTTCCCATGACACCGCCCTTATGTACGGGACAGTGAAGGGAGTGGAGATTTGTGAGGGAGTGAGGGTGGCCGTTGTTTCCGTACATTTGGATCTTCAGACACGTGGCACTACTCGGCCGCCTCTCGCAGTTCCCAGGCCGTGGATCGAGATGTTGTGAGGGTCTGCTCCAAGCAGAAGGACGAGAACAAGATGCAGTGCATGACGGCCAACCTGATCCGCGTGTGGTTGCAGCGCATGGAGCACGTGCGCCAGTACGCGTTGGGCGTTGCGCTCATGATTGTGGAGGAGGGGCGGCACGACGTTGCGGCGCAGCGGGATCGCATGACGGACTGCCTGTGCTGTGAGGGGCGCGTGTTGGAGTGAGCGTGGCGTGCCTGTGAGGGACTGAGGAGAGAGGGAATAACAGTAGTGGTGACTGTGGGAGTGTGAGGAACGGTGCACGGGCGAGGAGCGCCCTCTTTTGATTTTTGATTGTTGTTGAACCGCGCCCACCCAATTGTTGCTGTGGTGTTGTGTGACTCTCGTTGCTGGATGGTACGGCGCGTGGCTGTGTGACTTTTCTCTCCTTTTGCTTTCACTCTGCGTTGACGGGTGTTAGTTTGTGCTGAAGGCTACACGCAAGTGACAGGAGTGATGGCGATGATGACTGGCCCTGTGCTGCTGGTGTGTGCCCTCTGCGTGCTGTGGTACGTTACCGGCGGTGTTTATGCGAGGGACGTTGACACCAACGCACTGGGTGGCTGCATGGCGTCGGGAGCGTTGGGTGAGAATGGATCCCACATGCCTGACGGATGTAATAAAACTGCGATTACGGTGCCTTTGCGGTCAGTACTGCTCATTACTGCCGTCGAAGCCTCGACTGGAAGAGATTCTGCTGGTGGTACAAAGAACGATTCGAATTCAAGTGGGACTTCCGACGCTGGTGCTTCTGGTGCTGTTGCTCCTCCTGGTGGTGGTCCTGATGGTGGTGCTGGCGCTGGTGGTTCTGCTGGTGCTTCTGTTCCTGGAGGCGGTGGAGGAGGCAGTTCTGGTGCTGGTGTTACTGGTTCTGGCTCTGCTGGTCCTGGCGGTGGCATTCCTTCTGATGCTGGTCCTCCCGCTCCTGCTGTTGTTGCTCCTCCTCCCGTTCCTCCTTCTGCTCCTGCTGCTTCTCCTGCTGTTGCTCCTGCTGCTCCTGTTGTTGATTCTTCAGCTGGCCGAAGTGATGGTACAGCGGGGTCCTCTGGCACTAATTCATCTAACACAACGGGAGAATCTCAAACAGGAAATCAGTCGTCTGCTGCAGCAGCGGCTCACAACTCCTCGCTACCCGAAACACCCACAGGGACGACATCCGGCACTGGACACACACGACAAGAGGAAGAGGAAGAAGAAAATGAAATGCAGCAGCAAAGTGATGAAGCACAAGTCCAACAAAATCAACAGCATGAACACCCCGCGGAAAACGGCGAAGAATCCGCGAAAGATAAAAACGCCCTTCGTACAAATGCCACCGCAAATACAGGCGACAGTGACGGCAGCACCGCGGTCTCCCACACCACCTCCCCTCTTTTGCTTCTTTTTTTTTTTGTTGCGTGTGCGGCTGCTGCTGCGGTGGTGGCCGCGTGAGAGTGAGGGAGAGAGAGCCGTGCACCGCCCGCACACACACTCTTCCTTCTCTCTCTGTGTGTGTGTCCCCTTGCATGGACTCTCGCCCTCACCTCACCCCACGAGGCACACACATAATGTGCCCATTGTATATATGCATGCACACCCATGCAGGCCCGTTGGTGCTCTCTTTTGCACGACACGCACCGCTGCCGTCCTGCCTGGCTGCATGGGCGGAGCACCGTAACTGTTTCTGTTTTGTTTCCATTGCATTGAGTGGGCGACCTCTCTCTCTCTCCCTCTGTGTGTGTGTTTTGCTTTACGGGAGTAATGAGAGTGTGTGTGCGCTGGTCGTCCCACGCTTCGGCATTTTTCTTTCTCTTTTGTTTTGAATCTTTGCTTCTGTTGTGGTTGGGTGCACCCATTTTACTTTCATTGGTTGGTTTTCTTCTTAAACTGCGGATGGCTGAATTTTCCCTTTTGTATCCTCCTGTTCTTTGTTTCTTCCCACGCAATCGGTCCTTGTTGCTTCAGCGAGCCACGAAATGTTTGCTTAACACCCACATCAATGGTTTATTTTCTCTATACCCCACAGTAGTTTGAGACGCTGGTGCTGCTGCATGTGATGATGTTTATAGTGTGATTGCCAGCGGGTGCTTTGCTGTCACTTTGACGTACCCTCGATTTGTTGAATATGCGATGCGTGCCGAATGCACGAATTGGATCCGCGTTGTTGTGAGGGACGCACCCTTTTTGAGCAGTTGGTGCGCTGCAGCCATACACCGTCATTGGGAGGGATGGATGCCCATCCGCATCAACGTATCCGCAAGGGACCTGGATGATACCGGGAAGCATTGGATCTCAGAGAAGCACTACGCTGTGAATTCATTGAATGACAATTGCGAGTGTGAAGGTGACGTTGCATCCTCTGCGCACGGGATCATTCTCGAGAATGAAGTTGTTCCTGCTGCTTTCAACCCGCATGCGGATCGTCTGCTCGTGCAGCCACTGGAGGGTCCTTTGATTGTGCCTCCATTTGCCACGGGCAGCGTTTGCAGTCGGTTTACGGTGCGTGCTGGGCATTGTTCCACTGGTGTAGCCAATGCCGACATGGTGCTGTCCGTGGCAGAGCGCTGTCGGTGGTGGTGCACTCGACGACTGCCGTGATAGCAGCGAGGAGTACCACGACTGCGACGACATTGATGGCATGGAGCTGCAGGATGGCGATGGTGACGGGAGGACGCTGGAGTCGCACTGGTCGCAGTGCCACGCGAAGGATGAGTGGATGGCACCGATTGGTTGTGCCGTCTGCCGCACGGAGCTGACGCTGGCCGCACCGGCTGACCTGGGCTGCATGAGGGTGAAGTGGGAGATGGCGGAGCCGATGCGCTGGTGAAGGAATTCGTGCTGTGCGCTGCTGCAGAGGAAGTGCTCCGCACCGAACATGAGTGAATATCCCCAGATGTTCTGCGAAGCGGGCATTAATGCCAGACGCTGCACGTTGGATCGGTATTCGAGTGGTTGGTGTGTAGACGAATTATCCATGAAATGTCAGCAAAACGTCCGATGGACAGTTGCCCCATCACTGGTCCCGCACTGGATGTGAGAGATGCTGCCGCTGTTATTTGGAGGGGAGAATATTTGTCTGCGGTGCCTGGGGACAAGCCCTCTTCGTGGTGTCTGGACACGCTTCCCACCAACACGACGGATGCGAGGGACCCGGAAGAAACGTACATCTCGGTGCTGCCTTGCATGCGGCATTGCGGTGCCTCGGCATGCGGGTGCGTCTGAGAGTGACTGAGAAGGGTAACGCCCGTTGTGCCCCATGCACGGCTGAGGCGACGATTACGTGGGTTGCTCCGCCCTACGACGAGGGAAAAGCTATTTTCCGTGACCACGCGCAGGTGTGCACGACATCCGTCACCAGCGGCAGCCTGCTTCCAATAGTTTCATGGGGTGGCGATGTGAGAGGGTGTGTGGAGCAGGACGGTCTCACTGGCATATACTGAACAAGCTTTGCTACGGGCATCCGTCCCCGATCCAGAGAGCATTGGGACCGGCCGTGGCACACCACCGAAGGATGTGGACATGGCTGCTCCCAGAAGCATCCGTCGCCAGAGGAGAAGGAAGTCGCCTCAGGTGCCACGACGGCAACGGTGTGCTCTTGCCCAGCGACACCGCGGGTGCGCCGCAGGAGGCGGAGAAGGAGCGCGATCTTCCGGACATCGACTATGTGGCCGCCGATGGTGTGACGTCTGTTGTCGGACAATCATTAGGAGATGAGGCCGTCAGCGACAAGGCTGGTGGCGGTGCCACAGCCACGGGACCCAAGGGCCCTGGTGCCGCTGATGACGCGCAGGGCGCCGTGGACCCTCCGCCGAGGGAGGATGATGCGGCGGTGGTGCACGGGGGTTGGGAGGCAGACATGAAGGACGCCCCGCCTCCGATCCACGGCAGTAACACTGCGGCTGCTGCTTGTCCCTTTCCGCTGCTTCTTCTGCTTGCCGCTGCCGCCGCGGTGCCAACACTCAGCAGTGGGTGCAAGAGAGAGAGGCCTACATCAACTGGCATGTTCCTATCAGTATATACATACACTCTGCTTGTCTGTATACTTTGTACCAGAGACATGCTGTATGCACTCTCCCTCTTTTGTGTTGGTCGCTAATGTGGCGGCACCACGCGTGTATTATGGGTTGGGATAAGAAATTGTTTGACTTCTTCTGGAGGATACTGTGGGGTGTTTGTGTGCGTGTGCGAGGGATCTGTGTGGTTTTGATTTCCCTATTTTTATTTAGCTGCTTTGGCATTCTGTAATGGTACTTCCCTTCTCCATTATGTGTGTTCTGAAGTGTTGCTAGGGCACCGGGAGTGGATGCCTGTGGACGCACGCCGTGCATTATGTGCTACATTGGTGGGAGGGGAGACTGACATAACTGGCGGGATTCAGTAAGGCGCATTTTGCCCACAGACCCTGCAGCCGCAGCAGCCTGAGTGGCGCTTTGCATATGGACGTGTGGATTGTTTTTCTCTTGCGAGGCTTTTTTTACTGCGTGTCATTTTCCGCTCGGGTACCGTGCCCGTGGCAGCAGCGGCGGCATCAAAAGGGCTGTGTGCGTGGAGAGTTCTTGATTGAGTGCCTGTCTTGCTTCTCTGTTCTGTTGATTGATTGTACCGTGTGCCGGCCAAACGGTTGACATGACGTTCTTCTGACGGCGGGGTCCGCGTGAGACGATGTTGCGTCGCGTGCTTTGTTGCGGGTGTGTGATTTCAGCAACGGTTTTTGGGCGGTTGCCTGTTGGGTCGTTGAGGGCGGCGTGGCGACGGGTGCGGATGGACCCGATTGTGTGCCGTGGCTGTTCGTGCGGGGAGCCGCGGGAAGGAGGAAGGCGGAGCGATGGACTCACGAGGAATGCGGTAGCGTGCAGCCATGAAGATTGGCGACAGGGAACTCACTGCCGCTGTGAGTTGCCGTGTGTGGTGTTTGTTTCTGTTATTATTACTTGCGTTGTTGGATGTGGCCGCTGTGGGGGAATACTGTTTTTTGTTTCTTTTTCACGCCGTTTTGGGATCCTTTTCTGCACCGGCATCACTGTGTTCTTGCCGCACTGTTGCGCCCTCTTTCCCTTCCATTCTGGGGGCAGCTGCGGGTGGGTCTTACATGCCGTGGAGTTGTGTGCCGTGCTGTCCGGTGTTTCATTGTTGCCTGTTCTTCCTGCGTGCACGCATCCCCCATGCTCATGACAACAACCCTCATGCAAACGCTGCTCCTTTTCCATCCTACTGATGCGTGTGTGTTCTTCTCCTCCTCCTCTCTTTGCCCCTCCCTAGACTGTGTGTGCAGCCGTGATGATGATGATGACTGGCCGTGTGCTGCTGGTGTGTGCCCTCTGCGTGCTGTGGTGCGGTGCCGGCGGTGGTGGACGAGCTGAAGCACCTTCGGTTATTTCTGATACTCCGTCCGTTAAAGGCAATGATTCTAAAGGCGACAATGTGACCGTCGGTGGCGCTGCAGGAGGTGGCCAAAACGGTAAACCGGCACAGTCACAAGCAGCAGGAGTATCGGTGCAAGGCGCAAACGAAGCGGCAGCAGAAGCAGCACCGGCACCACAACCCGGAGGAGTAACATCTGAAAAGGCAGAGGCAGCGAAGGGCAGCAACGGTCAAAAAGAAGGAAAAACGGAGGAAAAACAAGACAAGGAGGAAGAGGAAGAAGTGGAAGAAGACGAAGAGGGAAAGGAAGAAGAAGAGGATGATACGGAAGAAGAGGAAGAGAATGGTGCGAATGAAGAGGAGGAGACAAAGAAAGGAGAAGCCGTTACCGGCACCACAGAGGGGACCTCAGCAGGCGGTCAAGTGCAGCCAATTTTATCTTCTGGTGCGGAGGGAGCATCGAATAATACAAATCCCAACAGCACACCAACAACTGGAGACGATGCTCCAGCAGCTGATGGTGCAGGGACACGAGAGGGAAAACAAAATGAAAATAAAGATGCCAATCCGAAAGAAACACCAGTCGAAGCCACAGCCATAAAAAATACAACGGCGACGACTGGCGACAGTGACGGCAGCACCGCGGCCTCCCTCACCACCTCCCCTCTTTTGCTTCTTCTTCTTGTTGTTGCGTGTGCGGCTGCGGTGGTGGCCGCGTGAGAGTGAGGGAGAGAGAGCCGTGCACCGCCCGCACACACACTCTTCCTTCTCTCTCTCTGTGTGTGTGTCCCCTTGCATGGACTCTCGCCCTCACCTCACCCCACGAGGCACACACAATAATGTGCCCATTGTATATATGCATGCACACCCATGCAGGCCCGTTGGTGCTCTCTTTTGCACGACACGCACCGCTGCCGTCCTGCCTGGCTGCATGGGCGGAGCACCGTAACTGTTTCTGTTTTTTCTCCTCTTATGATTGTTTTAATTGTTTTTAATTTTTTTTTTCTGTTTGCTTTAAAATATTTTAAATGTTTTTTTTTTTTGTTTTTTCTGGTTGTGTGAGTTTTTTCTTTCGTTTTGTGTTTGTTTTTATTGTTTTTTATCTCATTTCCTTCACTCCCCCATCTTTTTTTTTTTTTTGCTTTGGGGGCAATCACTATGGACGTTTTTTCTTTTCTACTCTTCCCTCTTTAATTGTTTGTTGCTGCACTCTTCCTGCGAGGGGTGCCGTGTGTTTGCCGCCCAACTGCTCCACTCGCACACCCACCGACACGCTCACGACGACGGCCCTGTGCGCCTCGCCTGCTGCACGCATGAGGAGGGGCCGCGACGAACGGCGCGCTGCGGGAGCGGTGACGTGTGGGCGTGCGACGAGGGCCTGTGGGGCGGAGCGCACATTTCTTCCCTCTTGTTTTGTTTTCTTTGCGGCGAGGGCGGGCAGACACCCGCAGCGCCACACACACAGCCACACCCTGCCGCCGTGTTTTTCTTTAAGGATTTGTTTTGCTTTGCGTGTTTATTTCATGCGGTGGCGCACCCTTCGGTGTCGGCCTCGTGAGCATTTCTCTCCCCTCCGATGATTTCTTTTTCTTTTGCTGCGCTCACTCTCCCGATGGAGTGACGCGACTGCCGTCATGTCTGCGTGCTTCTCTCAGTCCCCACACACACGAGTGACTGTGCTCTGCGGGCCGCACTCACGCGCCGATGAGAGGGCTGCGGGGAGCAGCAACACGCGGATGACCGCATGAAATATAAACGATGTGCGGACACGTGGAGGGTCGGACGGTCGAAGCACACGCAACCATCTTTTTAATTTTCTTTCGCGGGCAAAATACATACAGACAGTTCGGTGTGGCCACACGGCAGCCAGGCGATCTTTTTCTTATTTTTAAATTTGTGTGGAGCAGTAATGGACGATTTCTTTTCATTTATAATTATTTTGTGTGATGGGGTTTACATAAGACGAAGGGGACGTTTTTTTGTTTTCAATAAATCTTTTGTGAATTGCCGCTGCTTGGGCTGCAGTGCAGTCATGAGATTGAGCGGTCTTCTTGTTGTTGTTTCCGTTATGCGTCTCCGCTGTACATTTTTGTGCGTCCCTCCGCATACTCTGCTCCCTCTTTTCCACTTCTTTTCTTTGTGTTGCTGCAGGCACACACAACCACACACACAAGATGCACATTGCGGTGGATTTGAATGCACCTTTTGTAGTGCATGCTGGCAGTTGCGTGTGGCTGCTGCTTCTTCCGTGGCCATGAGGAGGAGGGAGAGAGGGAGCGCACCCCGAGTCTATTTTCCTGCGGGTGTGATGCACCGCGTGTGACTGCGCTGAGTTGGGCTCCGTGTCCCATTGGTGGCGGGATGGCAGGAAATTTTGTTGCCGCGTCATGGATGGATGAGGGCTCGCTTGCTCCGTGTGCGTTGTGTGGGGCCGCGGGTTTTGGCCATTTCCCTGGGGCTGCGGGAATGAGCTGGGGGAGATGGTGGTGGATGTCTTCTCCTCCTGCATGGTGGGTGGCTGCTGGCGTTGTGTGCCTTCCTTGCGTGGATGCCGTCTCGTGGTGTGTGGACTGTGCGGCTGGGCCTGCTGCCCTCTCCTCATTTTGTCTGCGCTCTCTCGCTGTATCCGCTGTGCTCCGTCCCTCTCCCTCTCTTTCCATTCTTTTCCTTTCTGGCTCACCGATCGGCTGACTGACCCCGGCGACTCCACTACGGGCGATGATGACTGCGACGGTGACGGTGCGTCGCCGTGTTGGTACCTGCGCTCTTGTGCTGCTGCTGCACGTCCGTGTGCGTGACAGCGGGTGAAGAAGGTGTTGCAAGCCCCAGTCCACTTCTTCCTGTGCTAATGAAATAAACTGAGGATGGCCCAACGAATGCAGGCAAAAATAAAGCCAACGATAATTAAAACACCAGTCTATCGTCTTTTGTTCCCTGAAGGAATAGGTGCGACACTTACGTATGGCTGGTCCACTGAGTCTGGCATGCGAGACGGAACACTTTTGAAGGACGAAACGTGACCGGTATAAGATGCGAAGAACAAAACGGATCAGTCACTAAGTGGTTCCATTACGGTGCACGAAGAAACCGTTTCCAGGAAGGAACAGCAGACAAGTGGACACGGTTTACCGCCCTCTCCACCAACGGAAGTAAGTACGAATCATGATACGACAAAAGCAACAGGTCCATTAGGCATGCCAGGAGGAACAACTCTCCCGGTTGCTGTGCCAGCACCAAGTAAGAACTCCCCTGCGTTGGAAGGAAAAGATACTGCAAGTACGGGAAAGACACCGCGTAATTCCGACAAAAAATGGAACCAACTATGAAGCTGCTACGCCAGAGAACTCAATTGAGGAACAGACATCAAATACGATGCCTACCACGATGAGGACCGCTGCGACAGAGGCGTCAACCACGACGACCACCCGCGCACCGTCACTTCTTTGCGAAATCGACGGCAGCCTCAGCAGCTCTGCGTGGGTGTGTACCCCGCTGCTGCTCGCCGCACCGCGCTGGCGTACACCGCTGTGGGCTGAAGAGGTGTGTGCGGGCTGTGAGTTCCAGCACTCAACCACGGGGACATGTGTACGTCTACTGTGGTCCGATGTATGAAGTAAGTGTAATTATGATGATCGTTTTTGCTGTGTTTGCTTCCGCTGCCCTGCTGTGTGCTCCGCGTTGTGCACCACATTCGCCACGTTGAACGCGTCCCAGACACACTTGTATGCATGCTCAGCGAGGCCTTGAGTTTTTTTTTGTTTTTAATACATTCTGATATGCAGGGTGGTGAACTTTTTCTTGCCTTTACTGATTCCCTTTGTAATATGTTGTGTGTGCGTTGCTGGGCTGCTGCCGTTTGTTACTTTGTTGCTGTGCGGTGGCTGTGTGACTTGTGAGTCGTTTCTTCCATTTTGCTTTCACTCTGCGTTGACGTGTTGTTAGTTTGTGCTGAAGGCTGCACGCAAGTGACAGGAGTGATGGCGATGATGACTGGCCGTGTGCTGCTGGTGTGTGCCCTCTGCGTGCTGTGGTGCGGTTTGTCTGGAGTTGCGGCCCACGGTGAGGAAGATGCCGAAAAGAAAGAGGATGGAAGTTCCGGGGGTCCAGGACCTGATGCTGATGATGGTAGTGCTGGACTGCAGGCAATGCAAGTTCCAGTCAAGGGAGGTCCCGAGAGGGAGGATCATTCTTTGGGGGCACAGACAGGAAACAGCACCAACGAGCAAAGTGTTGTGGTCATGTCACCACCTGAAAGCTCACTTGGACCAGAAGAAGAAGAGGAGGAAGAAGAAGTGGAAACAGTACAAAAAGAGAAATTAGAAAGCACAACCGAAGAAGAAGAAACACCAAAATTAACATCGTCTCAAGAAGGAGAAGGGCCACCAGCACCAGTAACAACGAGAAAAAATGAAAAACCAGCAGAAACCTCAGATGCAACACCAGGGAAGGGGCAGTCCAGCTCTGGTGATGTTTCAACCCGACCAGAACTACACAAAACACCATCCGAAGAACAGCCATCATCAACAGCACCACAAGCACCAGCACCTGCAGCAGCGGCACAAATAAAAAACGAAAGCACCACATCTGCAGATGTCGTTTCAGGGCAACAGATAAAAGAAGAATCTCAACACGACATGCAATCAGAAGGTGCTTCAGGGAAAGAAGAAAACGTCCCCACCACAGTCACCAAAAAAGACGGACCAACAGAAAGTAACGCCGAATCAACTCCAACACCACCCTCAGCTTACAAAGATGCCATTACAAATGACGATGAGAAAAGCAATGAAGAAGTTATTCCAAAACATGATCAAACACCTGATGGTGAGACGATGAACGAAGCCTCACAAGTTGAAAATAACGAAGGAAATACAAATAAAACACAAACAGTCGAAGCCGCAGCTATAACAAATAATACGGCGACGCCTGGCGACAGTGACAGCAGCACCGCGGTCTCCCACACCACCTCCCCTCTTTTGCTTCTTCTTCTTGTTGTTGCGTGTGCGGCTGCTGCTGCGGTGGTGGCCGCGTGAGAGTGAGGGAGAGAGAGCCGTGCACCGCCCGCACACACACTCTTCCTTCTCACTCTCTGTGTGTGTCCCCTTGCATGGACTCTCGCCCTCACCTCACCCCACGAGGCACACACAATAATGTGCCCATTGTATATATGCATGCACACCCATGCAGGCCGTTGGCGCTCTCTTTTGCACGACACGCACCGCTGCCGTCCTGCCTGGCTGCATGGGCGGAGCACCGTAACTGTTTCTGTTTTGTTTCCATTGCATTGAGTGGGCGACCTCTCTCTCTCTCCCTCTGTGTGTGTGTTTTGCTTTACGGGAGTAATGAGAGTGTGTGTGCGCTGGTCGTCCCACGCTTCGGCTTTTTGTTTTGTTTCCTTTTTGATTTTGTGGTTGAGTGCACCCATTCCGCGGATGCGTGTGTGTGTGTGTGATGATATGAGTAATTTGCGTGTGTGCTATCCGCGCTTCTCGCTTCGTCGTTTCCTTTTTCGGACTTTTTGTGCTGCACAGCTGTTCTGCAAGTATAGGCACTGAAAAACACACACGCCATGCATACATACAAGCCATGTTGCACACGTTGTGTGGCGGTGTGAAAGCACGCACGCACAAGTTTCTGGCTGCGGTTGCTTCTGCGAGAAGAGTTTGATTCCGCGATTTGCCTTGTCAACGCTTTGCGGGCGTGATGTTGGCGGTGTGCAGTCCGTGAATGGTGTGGCATTTCGGGTGCCTGGGACAATTGCGGATTGATTTGCTTCCAAAAGCTGTACCTGCCGACGTGGCACTGCCGCTGTGTATCCGTTGACGGGGGATTTTCCGGCGTGCGGAGTGATGTGCGGGTGCGCTGTAGAGACAACGGCAATACGACTGGCGGCAGCGCATGGGTGCTGCGAGGGGCGGTTGTGCTTTTTTGCATCTCGCTGTTTTTGTTTTTTGCTTGGGCGTTGTTGTGTCTGCTGAAGCGTGACGAATAACGACGCGCCCGCTGTGGCTTTTACTGCTGGTGGAAGTCGCTGTGTGTTCCCGGTGCACTGTTCTCCCTTCTCTTTCCGTGTGTCTGTGTGCAGGCTTCGTTGCTGTTGGGAGTGACTGCGGTGGAGATGATGATGGGGCCGCTCACTGTGGATGGGCGGCGGTGTTCACTGTTTTACTCCTTTCCCTCTTCTCTCTATTTCTCGCACACAAAGAACGAAAGGAAGTAAGGCTAAACGCTAATCGCCACTGTGAAATTCGAAGGCACTGAAAGGACCAACAGCACACACACCGCCCACACACACATATTTGTATGCTCTCACGTGTTGCTGTAGCTGTAATGGCACCCCGCACACACAACCGTCGCCGCGTGACTGGATCCAGCGGGAGGAGGAGGGAAGGAAGAGAGAGTGAGCGGCAGAGGCCCAACATGTCGCGGCATCTCTTCTACTCTGCGGTGCTTCTCCTCGTTCTTGTGATGATGTGCTGCAACGCTGGTGGTGCTGCGGAAGGTCCGGAGCAGGCATCTGAACGAAAGTTTGAATGGAAGTACGTCAAGGATGAGGAGGGTGGTGGTGTAACTGTGGAGTCGTTGGGTGTTCCCGGTCTTCTAAAAGTGGGGAGTGACGTATTTGCTGTTGCCGAGGCGAAGGAAACGAAGAAGGAGGGTCAAGGCAGCTTTACTGGCATTGCATCCCAACTTCTCACGACACTAAACGTTAACACACCGGTGGAAATAATGAAGGATGCCAACACGAAGACACAATTTCTGGAGGAATCTATTTCCGAAGGCCCAAAGAAAGTGGATGTGAGCCGACCAACAACGGTTGTGAAGGGAAATGATATTTACATGCTTGTTGGGAAATACAACCGTAATGATGCTCAGGGGAGTAGTGGGGGTGACTCGGGGCTGTTGCTGGTGAAAGGGAGCGTCAGTAGTGTTGATGCAAGTAAAAAAAAAATTGACTGGAAAAATACCAAAAGTCTCCCGCGAGGACCTTTTGGCACAGAACTCGAATCCTTGACGGGACTGTTTGGAGGCGGTGGATCGGGCGTTCAGATGCATGATGATACGCTTGTGTTCCCCGTGGAAGCCACGAAGAAGGGTGACGCACAAAAGGATGTGAAAACCGTTTCGCTGATTATACACAACTCGAAGGACACTAATGAGGGTTGGAAGCTGTCGAAGGAGGTTCCTTACGATGGCTGCGGTGATCCCTCCGTCGTGGAGTGGAAGGACAAAAAACTCATCATGATGACTGCGTGTGATGGTGGCCGCCGCAGGGTGTACGAGTCCGTTGACAAGGGGGAGTCGTGGACGGAGGCACTCAGGACACTCTCGCGCGTGTGGGGCAACAAACATGGCGAAAAAGCGAAGGGCGTTAGAAGCGGGTTCATCACAGCGAAGATTGACGGTGTTGAAGATAACAGAAATGTGATGCTCGTCACTCTGCCGGTGTATTCCGAGGAGGACAGTAAAAAAGTAACGGGCAATGGAAAGGGAAAACTCCATCTTTGGCTGACGGACAATACGCACATTGTTGATATTGGGCCGGTATCCGATGATGACGCTGCCGCCAGCTCCCTGCTGTACAAAAGTGCTGCAAGTGGAACTAATAAGAAGGAGGAGGAGTTGATTGCACTGTATGAGAAGAAGAAGGAAGATGAGAAACCATCACCTGGTATGGTCTCTGTGCTTCTGACTGAGCAGCTGGAGCGGGTGAAGGAGGTGCTGGCGACGTGGAAGAAAGTGGACGACCTTGTCTCCAAGCTGTGCCCTTCTGGGAGTACGGAGAAGAGTGCCTCACCTGACAATGCCTGCAGCCCTACTGTTAAGATCACGGATGGGCTGGTTGGCTTTTTGTCCGGCAACTTCTCTAATGAAACATGGAGGGACGAGTACCTCGGGGTGAACGCCACAGTGAAGAATAATGATGGGGGTAAGAAGGCAAAATTGCATGAAGGCAGTGTGAAGTTCCGGGGAGCGTGGGCGGAGTGGCCTGTTGGCAAGCAGGGGGAGAATCAGCTGTACCACTTTGCGAACTACAACTTCACTCTTGTGGCGACGGTGTCCATTGACAAGGTGCCGCAGGGAGATACCCCTGTTCCTTTGTTGGGTGTGCGTCTGAACGATGAAAAAAAAACCAAACTTATGGAGCTGTCATATGACAGCGGAAAGAAGTGGCAGGTGCTGTCCGGTGACAAAACTTTTAAGGAGCTTAAGAGCGCTTTGGAGCCAGAGAAAACACACCAAGTGGTGCTTGTGGTACGGAACGGCACTCAAGGCTCCGCTTACGTCGATGGTCATCGCGTGGGTGGGGACGAAGCGTGTGCATTGGAGAATATGGATTCAAGAGCGGTATCCCACTTCTACATTGGAGGGGGCGGAGACAGTGCAGTGAGCACAGGGATCGAAGAAGAGATGTCTGTGACTGTGACGAACGTCCTGCTGTACAACCGCCCGTTGAGCTCTGAAGAGATTGGCGCCCTAAACCCGAATAAAGCTTCTATTCCACCTGTGGTGCATGAAAAAGCCCAAGGAACCCAGTCGCAGTCCTCTTCTGCCGGACAACCGCCGTCGGGGCCTAAATTGTTGAATGGAAATGAGGGTGAGGTCGGTGGCAGCACGTCCCCATCAGAACCGTCCACTGTAACGAATTCAGGAAAAGAGCAATCCGAAATTCAGCCGCCTTCAGCAATATCTTCCGGCGGAAGTAAACATGTGGATGTCGCTTCCTCATCCGATGGTGATCCAAGGGTGGGAGCGGAAGCTGGAGGTGCTGTGCAGGGAGACACACCACCCCAAACTCCTGTGGATACTCCCGACACAGCAGATGCAAACGCTCCTACCGCTACGGACACAGCTCAAGTTGGCCCCGCAGCTACAACTGATGTGGGTGCGAGCTCTGGTGAGGATGGGGAGACGGCGGAAGGGAGGGATGGGCAGGAAGAGCTCCATGCACGGGACGGCGAAGTAAAGGCTGCGGCACTCAGAAGCAGCCTCGGAAATGTGTCGCAGGGGAATAACAGCGATGCCGGCACTGTGCGTGGGAGCGGACTGCCATCGCTGCTTCTTCTGTTGGGACTGTGGGTGTTTGCGGCTCTGTGAGGAGTGACTGGCTGCCGCGTGGGACACTTGCGGCCTTCCCTTCACCGACACACACGGTAATTAATTTATTTTCTTTAATAACTTTTATTTAGTTTTTCCCTGTTTGCTTTGCTGTGTATTTTTATATCCCCATTTCTTTTTTTTTTTTTTTTTGCTTTTGGGGCAATCACTATGGACGTTTTTTCTTTTCCACTTCTCCCTCTTTAATTGTTTGTTGCTGCACTCTTCCTGTGAGGGGTGCTGTGTGTTTCCGCCCAACTGCTCCACTCGCACACCCACCGACACGCTCACGACGACGGCCCTGTGCGCCTCGCCTGCTGCACGCATGAGGCGGGGCCGCGACGAACGGCGCGCTGAGGGAGCCGTGACGTGTGGGTGTGCGACGAGGGCCTGTGGGGCGGAGCACACATTTCTTCCCTCTTGTTTTGTTTTCTTGCGGCGAGGGCGGGCAGACACCCGCAGTGCCACACACACAGCCACGCCCTGCCGCCGTGTTTTTCTTTAAGGATTTGTTTTGCTTTGCGTGTTTATTTCATGCGGTGGCGCACCCTTCGGTGTCGGCCCCGTGAGCATTTCTCTCCCCTCCGATGATTTCTTTTCTTTTGCTGCGCTCACTCTCCCGATGGAGTGACGCGACTGCCGTCATGTCTGCGTGCTTCTCTCAGTCCCCACACACACGAGTGACTGTGCTCTGCGGGCCGCACTCACACGCCGATGAGAGGGCTGCGGGGAGCAGCAACACGCGGATGACCCCATGAAATATAAACGATGTGCGGACACACGGAGGGTCGGACGGTCGAAGCACACGCAACCATCTTTTTAATTTTCTTTTGCGGGCAAAATACATACAGACAGTTCGGTGTGGCCACACGGCAGCCAGGCGATTTTTCTTATTTTAAAATTTGTTTGGAGCAGTAATGGACGATTTCTTTCATTTATAATTATTTTGTGTGATGGGGTTTACGTAAGACGAAGGGGATGGTTTTTTGTTTTCAATAAATATTGTGTGAATTGCCGCTGCTTGGGCTGCAGTGCAGTCATGAGATTGAGCGGTCTTCTTGTTGTTTCCGTTATGCGTCTCCGCCGTACATTTTTGTGCGTCCCTCCACATACTCTGCTCCCTCTTTTCCACGTCTTTGCTTTTTGTTGCTGCAGGCACACACAACCACACACACAAGATGCACATTGCGGTGGATTTGAATGCACCTTTTGTGGTACATGCTGGCAGTTGCGTGTGGCGGCTGTTGTCTTCTTCCGTGGCCATGAGGAGGAGGGGAAGAGAGGGAGAGAGGGAGCGCACCCCGAGTCTACTTTCCTGCGGGTGTGATGCACCGCGTGTGACTGCGCTGAGTTGGGCTCCGTGCCCCATTGATGGCGGGATGGCAGGAAATTTTGTGCCGCGTGATGGATGGATGAGGGTTCGCTTGCTCCGTGTGCGTTGTGTGGTGGCCGCGGGGTTTTGGCCATTTCCCTGGGGCTGCGGGAATGAGCTGGGGGAGATGGTGGTGGATGTCTTCTCCTCCTGCATGGTGGGTGGCTGCTGGCGTTGTGTGCCTTCCTTGCGTGGATGCCATCTCGTGGTGTGTGGACTGTGCGTCTGGGCTTGTTGCCCTCTCCTCATGTTGTCTGCGCTCTCTCGCTGTATCCGCTGTGCTCCGTCCCTCTCCCTCTCGTTCCATTCCTTTTCTTTCCGTCTCACGGATCAGCTGACTGACACCAGCGACTCCACTACGGGCGATGATGACTGCGATGGTGACGGTGCGGCGCCGTGCTGGTCCTTGCGCTCTTGTGCTGCTGGGAGTGCTGGACATGTATCTGGTGATGCGGATGCGGTGGTTGTGCCGGTGGATGTGTCGTGTGCTCCGAGTGACGGCAGCCTGAGCTATCGCGTGCGTGTGTGTGTGCGTGGAAGAATTGTTCTGCTGTCAGTGCTGAGGTTCGATATGAGAATTACACTTTCAGTGGCTTTGATCTGCGCATGCATGGCAGGAATGGCGAGCTGGGTGCTGTGTGCCATGTGGTCAATGCGGTGCACACATGTAGCAACTGTGCTGCCAGCTGTGCAACGGAAGAGGAGGGGGCCACCGTTGCCTTCACGATGAATGTGACGGCACATAAATACGCCGGCCCTTATGAATTGTGGTGGCGTCAACTTTCCCCCCGATGGAACCATCCATCCGCCTGCATGGAGCAGCGATGCTGACCGGACGGGCATCTGTCAGTTGCCGCCACCCCGTGAATGAAGGGATGAAACAAATTCTGGCGAGACAACTGCGCCGCAAGTTAATGCTGAGCCGTCACGTCAGAACGAGGATTGGCGACAGTCTGCGGCGGCTGACGGACCCAACACCGTTGATCGGAGTCCCGCATCCAACGCGGCTACCAACACGTCCGAGGCGAGGCCTTCCTTCGCCAACGGTCCGAGAATATTATTGGTGTTGAATGCATCCGGGATCATGTCTGTCACTTATGGCGGCAGGAAACACGTTGCTGCGGATAACACGTACGAGGTGAGTGAGAACAACGCCACCGGACACAAATCTCCTTTGTTCATAAAATGGCTTTGCAGGCAGTGGATTTGTTGCTGAGGGTGATGCGGGCGGATTGAGTCAACGCAATGCCTTTGGACACGAAAACCCCAATTACGAGAATTCACCGCGCAGTATTCCGGCAGCGGTGTGAGTCTACACGACTGCTTTGTCCTGCTCAACGACGCGAAATTGACACTGCGAGAGTTAACTGTTGACGGCATTGTGCGTGTGTGCGTGTGTTGGGTGTTGCTGCTTCTTCTGGGATTGTGTGGAATTGCGACTCCTCACGGAGAACATGTGCCGCGTTCCCTGCGTGTGTTACTTTTTTAATTATTTTTTTACTGTTGGTTTTGTTTTTGTGTTGCTTTTCCGGAATGATAAGAACCCCTATTTACTTAATGGTCAGTTGCTGCACACCGTCATGGGTGACGTGCTTCCCCCTCTTTTGTTTGCTTTTTTTTGCCCACACGCGGTGCCGGCCTCATTGCTGTGCGTCCCACGGACTGCACGAAGGAGGATTGGAGGAACAGGCCGGATGCCGCAATGAAGTGTGAGAGATGTTGTGTGGGCTGGTGGAACAGTACGAAACTTTTTTGCTTTATTCAGTGCGGGAATCATGTGTAGACAAACAAATGTCTTTTTTCTTTATTGTGCCGTATGGCACACGAAATGAAGGTCGTGCCTGATCGATGTTTCATATTTTTTTAACTTTTTGGGAGCCTTGCCGGACTCTCAACTCTGTTCGTTTTCCTTTTTTTACTGCTTTTTATATTTCTGTTTTGCAAGGCGGTGTGCGAGTTCTGCAACTGCACTTATTCCCTCTGTCTCATGGTGTGTGCTGCTGTTGTTGCTGCCAATTGTTACTGTAGAGTGGCTGTGCTTGGTTTTTTAACATTTTCCCCTTTTGCTTTCACTCTGCGTTGACGTGTTGTTAGTTTGTGCTGAAGGCTGCACGCAAGGACAGG